TTAACAACAAGGATTAGGCATGCGACAATCAACATAAAAACCGCTACGCACTTAATCTACTGATAAGATGACATTGTCAGCGCTATGAATTTTAAGTTAGATATTTTCTACAAAAACATTATTATCATTTATAAATTCTTCAATTTTATAATAAGCTTTTTTACAAAGAAAATATTTTATGACACATTTGAATTTTTTTTCTGGCAAATTGACTAAAATATTATGTAAGTAGCACAGATAATATAATAATTAAACAAACTTAGAATTAAAGTATTATATAAACTTACATTACAATTTTACAATTTCAGTAATAATTCATTAATATTATTTTTTTGCATTATATTACAAATTAACTGGCAAACTATGCCCGATACCTTACCTCGAGTATGAACTTTCTTACGTATATCACAGATAACATAATTTATATCTTATATATAAAATTCTCGTGTCACAGTTTTCGTTCCCATACTCCTCCGAAACGGCTTTACCGATTCTCATGAAATTTTGTGAGCGTATTGAGTAGGTCTGAGAATCGGCCAACATCTATTTTTCATCCCCCTAAATGTTAGGGGTAGTCAGCCCCAAATTTTTTTTTTAATTTTTTAGACCAAATTATTATGATACAACATACAAAAATACATACAATCCTAAATTTTCACCCTTCTATCATCAACCCCTATTTTTTATAGCGTTATTAATTTATATGGCAAAACAATGTTTGCCGGGTCTATAAATAAAATTGGAGTGTCTGTTTGTAATATTAAAATAACAATTTTTCCCTACTTGCATATGAATATAAATACGGTACATAAACCAAAATAACATTTTTTACAATTTTTGTCTGTCGCATGTTTGTATGTCTAGGTCTGCATGCTTTTTGTGTATATTATGTACGTATTTGTATCAGTTATCACCCATAACACAAGCTCTGCTTAGCTTTTTTTATACTACGTAGGTAGCAAAGCATACGGCCCATCTCGGTAAATTCATCATGGTAAACAGTTACCGTAGCCTATGGACGCCTGATACACCAGGGGTGTCACGTGCGCGTTACCGACTCTTAAGAAACCTTAATATACCCTTCTTGAAAAGCCACGTTCATTCCACAATCTAAGTGTACACGGGAGGAAACTCCAGCTTGGGACTAGGTGGCTCTGTGAGAGAAATCTTGAAGAAAAAAATTTACAGTAACTGCATTATTTAATTTAATTTATTTCAGGTTACAACTACAACGCTCCAAGTGACTTCAGCGGTTCTTTGACTGGCTTCCACAACGGGAACTCTGGGTATAGACCGTCGACAGCGTACGGACCACCAGGCTACCATTGATTCACCACCACGAAACAACCATAGACTAATTATGACCTAGTTTATTTGCGAGCAAAGAAATGTTGAATATATTGTCATCGAATGGCTTGGAAGTTTCAAACAGACTTGAACAAATGACGACAAATTTAGTATCAGAGACAGATTTTGGAACACAATATAGATTTTAAAAATAGAACACATATTTGTTCTATTTTTAAAATAAATTAGAATTTCAAAAATGTATCTGTGTTCAAATGAAAATGTATCTCTGATATTAGGGAAGTTTCAAACAGACATACAAATGACAACAAAATTAATATCAGAAACAGATTTTGGAACACAATAGAAATTTTAAAATTTGGACAGTTATTGTTCTATTTTTGAAATGTAATTTATGTTTGAAAATGTGCCTCTAATGTAAATTTTCTTTTAAATCCGTTATTACATAAATAAATCTAAGATTGTTCTATTTTTAAATGTTTAATAGCAAATTTGTGTCTAAATTTAAATTACAAATCAATTCCAAATTTGAATCCATTATGGATACAAAGTATAAATATTAAAAGACTCATTCCTTTATTAGAAAAATAATAGAACATATTATTATGTTATATTGTAAATTAAGATAATTTGATTGACGTGAAAGAATGTATGATTCCCTTAAATTTCAAGCCAAATGTATGAACTGCGTGTACATTTCTAATTTAGGTAAATAAGAGTTTTTGTACTAGTATTACTTTTTATACGAGAAATAAACATTTTAAAAAAAAACCTTGCTTTACTTTATGAATTTCCAAATATTGAGAATAGAATGATATTTTTATTAATTAAGTTTTTTTCGGACTACTCTAATGCTGTTGGCCGCAGCTGGCCTTTACAGCTTCACCTGACGTTAGTGCAGATTGCACTCCAAATCAGCGGAAGGAGTTATGGGGCGGCTGAAGGCCAACTCCCGCCTCACGGATACGACGCCAGTCTGAGGGCACCGCTAGGGTTTCGAACCTCGGTTCAGGCCGTCGTAACATCTATCCCCGTTTGAATTGATCGGGGGATCGATCGGAGGGATTTTATTAAGAGTTAGTACATGTCATCATCATTGCCTAACCTTTATCCCATTATTTGTGGTCGGCGCAGTATGTCATTCTCTTCCACTGCTCTCTATCGGTCGTCATATCTGAACATACTCCTTTCATTCATATCATCTTTCACACAATCCATCCATCTTTTCTTAAGTGTTGGTACATGTGTTACAAAAAAAACAGATCCTCAAAGGTACATATTTTGAGTCTGGGCTGGGATTATCTAGTCACAAGCTAAGCAGAGCTTAACCGATTAGTTTTTTGATGATCAATTTATCAACTACCGTCTCTTTTGAACTTAAACGAAGCATAAAGTATTTCAATGGGGTTGTTTTTTTTTTGTGGTTGATAATGAAATGGTCTACCTGCCTGCGCTAACAGTTTACGCTGGCGGGACACCAGTGGAGGATGACAAGATGTATATGAGGTTAGATCAGTTAGCTCATCGTGACAAATTCACTACGAATTTATCAAATGGTTTTCAGGAGGAACTGCGTGGAGGTCGACCTAGCATGGTACATTGCTAGCAATAGGGTTACTAGTTCCCATTACTAACAATCCCCATTCCCCTAAAGGTCCGGTTTACACGTGGTTCCCATGGAAATCATCATGTTAAATTTCTGGTGAATTTAGCCACGTTGGGCTAACTGACCTGTCCGGGGGGAATGGGGATTGTTAGTAATGTGGACTTAATAACCCATTACTAGCAATGTATGGTACATTGCTAGTAATGGGTCAGGTTGACTTCCAAGTGGTTCCCCCTGGAAACCATCGTGATAAATTCTTGGTGAATTTGTCACGATGGGCTAACTGACTTGACCTCATGTTCATCTTATCATCCTCCACTGGCACGCCAGCGTAAACCGTAAGCGCAGGCGGGTGCACCGTCCCATTATCCTTAAAAAAAAACTGACCTGACCTCATCTTATCATCCTCCACTGGTGCCCAGCGTATACCTTTAGCGTAGACGAGTGCACTAATCTGTTATCATCCCTTAACAAAATGGTATTTTTGCCTGCATGCATCATTTTTCAATATCATGCATTTTTCAATAACAATAAGAGGTAATATTTCATTGGTTTCGCCAATAATAGACAAGAGATACTTTATTTATTATTTTTATTACTTTTTTTAATCACTTTAAGTAGTTTCATCAAAGCATCAAATGTGCTTTGACCGCTTCAATTTATTTATTTTTATTTATATAACTTCAATGCACAAAATACCAAGGTAAAAGTACATATGGCGGATTTAACGCCTTACGGCATTTTGTACCAGACAACCACAGGTGGTGCAGAGAAACTGTAGGCGGTGCAAATGTAATCAATAAGAAAAATAAAAATAATACCTATGTCATAAATAATATATATTTACTAAACGTAAGTACATGTAAACATACATATACAAATACATACAATATATATAAAGCTATAGATAAATATGAATAAAATACATACCTAAATATACCATATACATATCATATAACGTACTTAATAGTCTGACAATGAAATAGCAACAGCAGATAGAACATAACAAAAAAAAACAACAATCTGAACCTCCTAGATGAAATCTGATCCACGAAGCATCAAACGTCCTTTGCCCGTTTTAATCTTATACTCTTTGCCACCATTCAGATTCACCATTAGATGCCACCATTTCTATCGGCACTAGGCACCAGTCGTACAACTCTTGTACCTTCTGCGTATACAATATTATTATTCTTATCAAACGCCGCAGTTGCTAGAAAATCTCTTCCTAAATCCACTAATAGTTCTATACTGGCAGTTTCTTTGTTAACCTTAAAAATACTTTCCCTATAACATACATGTACAACACCGTTCATGTCAATTGCTAGACTTTCTGGAGTGCAGTCAGGTATTCCCTCATATAAAGTTGCATTACATGTACCTTTCTTTTGACTATAGAGACCATTTTCATTAACGAAAAACATCACATCTTCATTATCTATAAGGAAATTCTCCACCTCCAAATCTTGCAATTCATCATATCTAGATGTTTCGCCGTCCGTGATTGTATGCAAAAAACGCAATTTGTCAAGTTTTGTGAAATATAATAAATCTTTATAGTAAATGCTCAAAATATTACACCCTTTTGCACCTATGAGTTCAGTATTTTTTGTTATTGGATCATATTTGTAAATACCATCATCAGAACCTACATATACTTGTCCCGTTTTCTGATCTATTGCGTGAGCATACCCTTCTTTTATAACATCTGTGATAGTAAATTGTTTAGTATTAAGATCTATTTTAGCTGATTTATAGTTGCATTCATTTTCGTCATCAGAAAGGAAACTGAAGTATAACATATTGGTATTGCGGTCGACAGTTAACAAAGATGGACGAATAAGATCTGCTTTCAGTATCTCCTTCTCATACAGGACTCCATCGATGTAAATGCCTTCGGATGCTGTCGTCATATCACTAGTTTGTTGTGCTCCTTCAGTTGTTGCCTAGAAAAAGAAAGTTTGGTTTTTGTTCAGCAAAATTTTTGCAGGTCGACTTTTTTTTTAATTTATACCCATATTTCCACTTTATTTCTATGTGGATGTTGTTTCATTAATGTGACATAATAATAACACAGATAATTCACACAGCGCCATCTATTCCCAATCTAAGCAGAGCCTGTGTTACTCCATAGATATTCTTAAATTCATTTTTTATATAGAAACACCCATATCAATATAATCATACTCATGAATACCAATGTCTGTACCGCGCAGTACCGACGTTGGACACAGGTTTCGAGCCCGCAACCATCGGAAGAAAGCCGGTGTGCTAAACCGCTAGACCATCAAGGACGTCCGATATCATTTCTCTGGTATAAACTTCGAGACTAATTTAGCATTATCTATAAAAGTTTCATTGTCTGGTACTTATTTAATTCGTAATATAAGATTTTATAGCAATAATATGTGATCCTTCAGTTCCTTTGATAGGTCAGTGTTTAAGTTCAAGAAGTATTTAATAGATGGCGCTAGTTAATGATTTAATGTGTAACATTAAATCTGATAGGAGGCAGTAAAGAGCAATAAACAGGTTTTGCCTTGGCTTCCTCCCTTTCTATTCCATGTCTTTTAGTGCTACAGCATAGTAAGCAGATTCTAAACAAATTTAGTGGGATTGGTATGACTTTAACGTTAAACTTTCCTGAAGCAGATTGTGATTTTATTACATGAACTAATGCACAGATGGCGCTAATTTTTCATTAACACAAGAGAATATTATTAATACTCTTATATTTAATAATTTAATTGTGTTAAAGTCATCCTTTGATTTTCGGCTTCGTATTTTATGTGAAAAATTATATTAGGCTTAATTAACTGTGATTTTGCTAAAAATCGATTGCGTAAATTAGTTCGATTAGCACTTTACAGATTTATTAAGAAGTCTCATAATGTTTGGAAACTTTAATTCTGTGGTCAGCCCACAGACAAGATTTAATGTATGAATGATTTGAAACTTATTTGAGAAGCTATTATTCATAATGTGATATGATTCTAAGTGATATTAGAATAAGGAATAACGAAACAACATTACACTGTATAATTCACTTGTTTGTAATTTATATTTACCGAATTGTTTAGATTACAATGTTTAAATAGTAAACATCACGACGCACTATTGTATTCAAGTTACAAAGTCATTATAACACAAGATTACAAAACAAACAAATATATTTACCAATTTTTTTAAACAGTTAATTAAAGAAGTGTGGGTACAATAAATATGACTCATATTGGCACACAGACATATATATGATAACTTGAATGACCACGACTGACGTAAGATATTTTTCATTATGGCAATAATTAATTTAGTAAAGGAATATAATCTAGAGTTTAGAATTCTTGAATTAATATTAGATACAACTCTTTTAATTGTAGTTTGTATTTATGACTGATTATTGTTACAGAAATATTAGTATTTTTGCCTGTATAGTATTATCGTAATTATCTCCAATGATAGTTAATAACAGATGGCGCCTCTGCACTATGATCCTATACTCTCATTATATGATCTATTTTTTGAAACCCTATTATTTACTCAGCTGCTGACTAAAAAGGAGTAATATTTAATAATATGATGGACTGAATATGTAAAAAGAAGACACTTTTGTTTTCATTTTATTTTATTATTTACACACTCATTAATACAAAAACAGAAAATATAAATATCAAGTCGTAAAACTGCTAAGCAGTTTGTCTGCAAAAGCGCTTAACGCGGACTTATAATGTACATATAGACACATATCCACACACAAGTATATTTTTAGAAAAACCTTACTGTAAAACCAGACATTTTATGTCCTAATTTGATGATTTGTTCACAAAAAAGTTTAATAATTAATTTTGAATAATTTTTTCGTTACATTATCTAATAGTCTTATATTTTTTGGTAACATATTATAATATTTTGGAACTAAATATTTTCTAGTTCTTATTCCGGAATAATTACAGGTACAATATATTCATTATTTTGAACTTTACGTGTAATTTATGAATAACATTTTAAATATATTATTCTTAAAATGCTCCAATAATGTTAATAATTTATTTTTATCTTTTACATCTAATAGTTTACATATTCTGAACAGGTCCACGTACCTATTTTGATAACAGTTATGCCTCTTATTTTTAACAACTAGTAGCTTCATAAACCTTATTTGTATATCCTTCATTGGATTAAGACATGTGTCAAAGGTTTGAACATCTGAACAGATTGGAACATGTTATACAAACTCTCTTTAAAATAAATGTTGTTCAACTTTATATTTTAAGGTTTTCTTTGAATACAAATTAAGATATAGCACCATATCAATACTAAACCTAGCGTATTCACCCTCACGAAATTATAGCCTGAGTTTTTTTTTTATTAATATGTTTTACGGCTGTAGATGCATGTCCTTTTTAGTCCAACTTAACAAATATACACCTACTGTTTTATTCTGATATTGTCGGATTGCTATGCCCTTATAGTTTTATGAAAATCCTAGTTTAAAGAAAAAAGAGTAACAAACATCGAAGCATCCATATTCACACATTTTCGCTTTAATAATTTCAATAAAATTACAATAAATAGTTTTTGTAAACACATACATTTAGGAATTTCTATTTCTGTGTAACTCTTTTATAATAAAAGATAATAATCAAATAAATATAATTTTAATACTTTCAAATATCACAAAAAGAAATCATCCTCAACACAATTCACAGGATTCTTAAGTTTGACTAACAAATCAAATACTACATAGATAGGATCTAGCATATTATTAAAAGTTAAAGCTTTAATCTCATGTAAATTTGACATTTTGTCTAGTGCATACTTGTATTTATTGTACACGAATATACCATCCAAGGACGCTGCAAACAATCTGTCCTCTAAATCATTGGACAAAGCCGTTATCGACCGTGTTATAATCTCGAACGCGGAAGATCTTGTACCTAATTTTAGTTTGTACAATTTCTTTCCATTTGTAAACAGTATATTCCCATCATTATCGACAACAAACGTTTCTGCTACATAATCCCTCATATCATCAACCACTTTTACGCCATCACTGTCGAAACTATACATCCTATTTCTCATGTTTGTAAAGTATAAAACGTTTTTAAAAAACAAATGCTGTATAGGTTCGTATAGTGGAAATTTCTCAGGTATCCTCCTATCACCTATAGCGTACAGTCCATCTACACTGCCTATATAAATTCTATTCTTCTTATCATCTATAGAAATACTGGTTGCGTTTCTAATACCTTTATAATAACCGGATAATCTGGTATCTAAATTAATATAACCTACAGATCCATCGTAAGCTAAAACTCCTTGATTGAATAGGAAGTAGACGGTGTTATCTTTCCTACTATATACAAGTTGTCTAACTTTATTGAGACCGTCTTTCAGTATTTCTGGCTCGTAATATCTTTGGTCGAAGAGTACACCGTTGCATTTCTTAGCCGATGTCGAGATGATGCAGCCCAGCAGTAGAAGCAGTAACTTCATCTCCTGAAATGTTGAAATTTTCTCTTAATGCTTTTGTTTCATAATTTCAATTTTAGTAATATTAGAAACGCGAAAGTGTGTAAGTATGGATGGATGGATGTTTGTTACTCATTCATGTTGATTATCGCATGCCTCTTACTTGTTATACTGTAATTATTTATATAAAAAAACATCTATTAAAAAGAGCAACACACAAGTTTCTTGCTCATTCTTCTTGTGATGAATCTGCATTCCGAATGAGTGGTTGAATCAAAATATGACTATTCAAATGTGCTTGTAATGAGTTTAGTTGAATAAAGATTATTTCTATTTCTATTTCTAATCACTCAAAAATCACTGAATATATTTTGATGAAACTTTACAGTAATATATATAATAATACTGCTTATACATAAGAATAACAAGAAGTGGAAGGTATATATGGAATTGTATTTGTAATATAATATAGTAATAAACAAGAAACATTTTACAAATGTTTGATGTAAGCTATGGAAGAGTGGAGCCTCCTGGCTCTCAGGCATCTTTATGCTTCAACAACTGTAGAATGTAGTTGTAAAATTGTGTTATCTAAATAAATAATTTTTAATACTTGAATTTGTGAATTTGAATTTTTGAATTTGAATTTGAATTTTTAATTTGAATTTTTGAATGTGAATTTGAATTTTATATATATGGAATCAATCTATAGGAATATTTCATAATGCTTCCCAGATTGGTTTCTTTCAATTTAATGTAATTAACACTTCATTATGTTTTTGGGTCAGCATTAAGACTATAAGACGGAATTAAATCATAACCGTCATCTATACCTTACTTATATCTATGATAAATAGTTATGTACAGATAGATTTAAACTCTACGCCGTGAGTTCAGAGTTCAAATCTGGTCGACACCATAATAAACTTTGTGTGTTAATTTATGTTTCTGACTAACTTTCCAGTGAAAGAAACACCGTTAATATAATCAAAAATTATTACAAGAGACGTTGATAGGCTCATTCCCGGATAAATTATTATATTCTAAATATATGTAATGTGGATATGTTTAGTGTTGCGTTCATCCTAAGGTCTTTGGACAATGCCTCTGACTACCCTATCCGTGTAAATAGTCGTGATGTATGTGTTTCTTTACATAATATAAAACATATTTCATTTCATGAAATATTGGCAGAACCAGCTTCCGATGCAGCCAAGTTATTGTTCTGGATGGTATCATATTAGATTAAGTTTTTTAGTTTATTTTTGTTATTTAGTATAGGTACGATGGGATTGTCATCGTCACATTATGTGTACAAAAATCCAAAAAAAAAAAAAATAAAGAGAAAAAAAAAATATAAAACAAAGTCGCCGCTGTCTGTTCGCTTATATCTTTTAAATTACACAACGGGTTATAATGCAATATATTTTCTACAATAGATAGAGTGATTCAAGAGGAAGGTTTATATGTATAATAAATGTGTATATATATATATGTACAATCGGCGCCGGAGTTTTCTATACTATAAAGTAAAATCACTCCGGCGCCAAGACATTTAAAAATTTGTAATGAGAGATGCATTATGCACGAAGCCGGGATGGGTCGCTAGTGTTTAATAAGTAGTGTAGGTATATGTTGTGATAATGAGCAACAAACAAGTTATTATATCGAAATACACGGCGAACCGTATGCTTGTAATGTAGTTAGGCTGTTAATAAAAATAATTGTTTTGGTTAAACAACACGTTCATATAGTAGATACGTGTTTGTTGTTTAATATCTAGCACAAAATCATTTGACTTAGAGAAAATAAGTTAAGTTTGTATCAATGTAGATATATATATAAACTAGCTGTTCCCACGACTTCGTCTGCGTGGAATTCAACTGTATATTTCTAAAAAGTATCCTAAGTTACTCCTTATTACATAAGCTACCTGTCAAAAAAAGTCTCGTCAAAATCGGACCAGCCATTTCAGAGATTAGCCGGAACAAATAGACAGACAGACAAAATATTTTGTTTTGGTGTTACCATACTTATAATCATATGCATGTAGTAAAAACGGTTATTTCAATATTACAAACAAACATCCAATTTTATTTATATGTATAGATTGTATACTACAATAATGTTACTACATAGTTGACCCCACAAATGTTGTTTTGCCATATATTTTAAAATCGCTTATAAAAATAGTGGTTAAGGTAGAGGGGTAAAAATTTAGGGTCAGATTGATTTTTAAAAAATATTAGAAAAGTAAATAAAATATTGGATATGAAAAATATATGTTGGTCGTAAAAATATATAAATATCGATAAAGCAGCTTAGAAGGAGTTATTTATTTACATATACAGTATACTTGCGATGGTTTTGTCTGCATGTTTCATTAAAACAAAACAATGCCTGTCTCAATAAAACAATATTAATTGTGTGAAATTGTGTAAGTCATATTTTTAAAACCAGTACGGGTTGTTACATATATAAACAAGCGACCCCTCCATTACAAATAATTGAATTTCTTGTTGGCTTGTTGTGCTTATTACATCCAGCAATACAAATCATTGAATTTCTCGACTTGTTCTATATTATAACAAGCATGTGTTATACATATAAACCTTTTGAATTACTCTATCTATTGCTGAAAACTGCATAAAAATCCGTTGCAAAATTTAAAAGATATAAGCGAACAGACTAACCTAACAGGTTAGGTTTAATTCTTTATAAAAAGGCGGTGCAAACTTTATGTGTTAATTACTCTGTGCCTTTACCTGCAACTTAATCAATTATTTTTTAAATGCAATTAAAAAGCAAAATATTGTTTTAAACTTACCGTAATGAAAAAGCTGTAGGCACAGGAATAAAAATATACAGTCACATAATATCACAGATTGTTAAACAAAACATTGAATTGTATTTTTCGAAGGTAAATTGTACACTGCTCGTCGGAGCGTCGGTCCGGTTCACTGGCTCACATGTGAATTGTGAATGTCGATGATGATGTAATAAGCTACCTGCTTAATATACCTACCGGGCGTGACTTGAGAATTGATTATATAATGAGTTTAATATGTTTATGTACATTAAGCTATGAGCAAGTATTCACTATTTTTTTGATAGGGCCATTTCTCCGTTTCTAGACTTTTTTAAATGGATGTTATGGAAATGACGCAGACACTTGCGTTATTTTGTATACTTTGGGCATCAGTGGGGGGATGATAGGATTAAGTTAATTGTTAATTGGTAAATTCCCTGTGATTTCGCGCCAAGATGGGATGTTTGGCGCGAAATCATAGGGAATTAACCTCGACGCACGATGGTTTAGAAAGCACTAGGTTCCATTTCTGAAACAATCCCGTTTATCGACAGACTTGGCCTGTCCTGGCTTTGCTTAGTTGTTCAATATTGGAACTGTGTTAAATTTACATCTGGCCTTTATTAATAGAAGACATAAGTTCAATTTTATTTTTGTTTCATTTTTTTTTCTCTTGCTTATTTGGCTATATGCTTCTTTGGCTTATTTATATTTAGAAACAGTGTATTCGGTGCCTTCTATTGTTTGTAAATTTTCCTGTTGATATGTTGTAAGCCTTTTACTTTTAACCAATTATATATATATTTTACTTTAGTATTTCACTATATTTATCGAAAGTGTATTAAACCTCTACACTGATACCTTTGTGAGTTTTGTACACAGGGTTAGTGTTATACCAAGCCGAAAGTCAGACAGAATACTAATGGTCAAATGATACCGATATAAGTTACGAAAGAAATGTGAAAATAAGTGTTGAACTTTTCATATTGAATTGATGAAGCACACCCACTTGTATGAAGGTTTTACAAAATTACATTCCAATGACTTTCTCTCCGCATATCAATTACATTATGTGATGCTATGCTATCTTTCTAATATTATAAAGACGAATGTTTGTTAGTATGGATGGATGTTTGTTACTCATTCACGCAAAGCTACTGAACGGACTTTGATGAAACTTTACAGTAATATAGCTTATATATCAGAATAACATCATCATCATCATCATCGCAGCCCGGAAGACGTCCACTGCTGGACATAGGCCTCCCCCAAAGATCTCCACGACGATCGGTCCTGCGCTGCTCGCATCCAATGCCTTCCAGCGATCTTGACCAGATCGTCGGTCCACCTTGCTGGAGGCCTTCCTACGCTGCGTCTTCCGGTCCGTGGTCGCCACTCGAGGACTTTACTGCCCCAACGGCCATCTGTCCTACGAGCTATGTGCCCTGCCCATTGCCACTTCAGAGTCGCAATTCTTCGGGCTATGTCGGTCACTCTGGTTCTATCAGAATAACATATAGGCTATAATTTAAAAAAGATATTATGTAAATTGGGCAAAATATAACGATAAATGTTAAGTATGCGTGATGCAGGCGAAGTTGCATGGGTCAGCTAGTATAATGTAAGTTCACCTACAACGTTTCAATGAAACATGACGTATTTACCCATTGTTAAAGCGAGTGAATTGGGCAGGAAATGAAAGAGACTCTGCCATTGTAAATTGCGAACAGCGATCGCGGTTTATGATTAAATTTGTTTAAACAATACTAGAGGATTACTAGCTGATCCCGCAAACGTTGTTTTGCCATATAAATTAAAATCGCTATTAAAAATAGGGGTTTGGTGATAGAAGTGCGAAATATTTAGAGTAGTATGTATTTTTAATGATGTATTATAAAAAAATTACCAAAAATAAAATATTAGAGGTGTCCACCTCTAATATTTTATTTTTATAACTATTATCACTTAGGGGTAGAAAACATAGATAGTAGCCTCTTCTCAGACCTACTGAATATGCATGTAAAATTTCATAAAAATGGGTCAAGCCGTGGAGTAGTATGGAAACTAACATTGCGACACGAGAATTTTATGTATAAGAACTAGTTCACCCACGTAAAATTTATAGCCTATATATTATTCTGATGCATAAGCTATATTACTGTAAAGTTTCGTTAAAATCCATTTAGTAGTTTTTGCGTGATTCTGTAACAAACATCAATCCAGCCATACTCACAAACATTCGCGTTTATATATGTAATATTATGTTATCTGTGATATTAGTAAACTTACTAGAGATACACTGCAACATTCCCAAATGCGAGGAAGTTACCGTTTTTTATTTTAGCTACTATTTTCCTCTGTTTTTTTTTATTGACCAACGTTTATTTTTAGTTTTTTTGGGATTGGCAACACTTTCAGTCAGTCAGACATCAGTGAACTCTACTTCAGTTCAGTCAGTCAGGAATGTGATAAGTATAAATAATTTCTAATTTTTCGTTTATTTTGTCAATGCTTGATAAACAGTTTAATCGCATATAGACAAATCATCGGCCGCTTACTTTGTTTTATTCCATATATACATTTGGCGGTAAGAACAAATTTATTTGTATTATTTTCTAGAAATTATAATAATTATTGAAAGTATATTATTTACCTTGACTAACAGGAAAGTAAAAAAATATGTTTATTATTAATTTCTTGTTTCCTTGTTATATTAATATTACAATTTTTTCCTTAAAGTACGTAACATATTTGTCATTACTAATTTATATGCGAAAATGTCGGTGTGTTTATTTATTTTTTATCTTTTCACAACTAAACGAAATCGCTTTTTACAATATACAAATAATTAAAATTATCGAATAATTCCTATCTTTTTACATTTATTGAATTTAATTATTTAGAATAATGTAATTTTTTTATGGATGGTAATGGAATGGTGCACCCGCTAAGGTTTACACTGGGGCACCAGTAGGTTGATTAGATGAATACGAGGTCAGGTCTGTTCACTCACCCTGGAAAATAAATCGGGAATATATCACTATGACTTTCAGTGATAAGAGTGTGTGGTCAACCTAACCTGATACATATAATATTGAGGGTTCAACATTGGATTATTCCGGAATGGCAATTCATAAGGAGTACCATAATTTACTGTCAGAAACACACTTACTGTCAGAAGGCCCTTCACTTGCAATTTTATCTACATAAACAGATCTTCTGTATCTCAATTATTAATACTTCATTCAAGTACATATTATGTTATTCTTCGTTTTAAATATTTATTTTTATCGATAGAAAGTAAGGGGACAACCAAATAAAATATATGGATTGTGTGAAAGATGTTAGGTGTAAAATGAGAGTATACTCTGATATGATGGCCAATAGAGATTAGTGGTAAAGGATGACATACTTAGCCAACCCAATAATGGGATAAAGGCAATTCATGTTGATGATGTATTTATTTATATCAATATTTTGTTTCTTACAAAATATTATTATTTGGTTATTATTTCCCCTATATCCCTACCATATCCACCTATAAAAAACTATGAGCTTTAGACTTGAGAGGTGGTGAGCACAGGAGTAATAATAAGTAATATAAATAATATTTTAGATTTATATCACAATATATATAAAAGGGCAAAATTTTTTTAAACAAAATTATCAACAAATAGTAATAATAATGGTAGACAGTCTTATTTAGTTTTGTGTGTCGCTTAACTTATATGAACATATATGAATTTTAATATTATGGTATTTAATTGTAGCTTTATATTTTATTATCCAAAGTTTAGAATGCAAAATTATAAGGAGCATAATGTTACTTACATTATGCTCCTTATAATTTTTGTAATTGAAGACCTTTGGTTTGTCTCCCTGAGCAGTCAAAACACTGAGTTACTGCCTTTTTGCATCACTTTGGTAGACATATAAACAAATTGGAGGGAAGCTAGGTTATAAATGGAAGCTTTACATATTTGTATTTGATTTTTTTATATTTATAATTTGCTCTTTTAAAGAATACCATGTAAAATGTTTATATGTATCTGTCCATATAAGCAAAGTCAATTTTATGTATTTATTTATAATACTGTTATTGCACCGATATTGAAAGTAGATACATTGAGAAATAAAATAAAAAAAGAAGCAAGTACAGAAACTGTCCTCAACACAATCTCTTCCAGACAACCATAGCGAAAGAGATAGCTAAGAATAAAGTAGGCGGCACATGACTGAAAAAAGTTAAAAAAAGTATTAATCTTCCAGACAACCATAGAGAAAGAGAGTATTGCTAAGAATAAAGTAGGCGGCACATGACTGAAAAAAAGTTTAAAAAAAGCATTAAACAATATATGCTGTAAAAAATCAAAATTTAGCATAAGGTACAATCTATCTATGTAACTACTTCGTTATTTTCGTCAAAGATTATAGAGTGTAAAATAGCATTCCACTTTGTATTTAAGTTTTCCTCTTCACACCACATAATAAGCATAACAGTATTATGCATGAGTTACTTCAGTTATATACATATGCTACATAAACAATAGAATTCTGAATTTGTTACTGCTGAGCGTTGTGCTTAATAGTTCGCGATTCAGAACGGTCAAGTTAGTTCGTAGCTCTTCTGTCTATTAGTTCGTTTGCAACCAACCAGAGTCGGGAAAAGATTGGCCGACTTGTAAGGCCTGAGTTCTTGAGGCTGCGAATTAAGATGTAATCTCATTATTTAGGCAACAAATATGTAGTAATGTTTTTTAGCTCACAAATAGTATTGTTTTAATAATGTTCACGTTGTTTAAAGCCATGATTCAACATTAAAAAAAATACGAGCTGAGTTTCTTGTCAGTTCTTCTCATTTCGAAATCATTCCGAACTGACGGTAGATTTGACATATCATAAGAGTCTGTAATAGACCTACATGAATAAAGATATTTTGAATTTGAATTTGATGACATAGGCCTTACAAGTCTGTGTCTTGGCCGACCTGTAAATATGTGTACTTAAATTGTTTAGGCTGTGAATAAAAATATGGTCTTATTATTTAGGCAACAAATGTGTAGTCATGTTTTTAGCTCGCAAATAGCCTTGTTTTAATAAATAGTGTGGTTAAGTTTTTTCAATTGTTTGTGACGCCCTGAAAGGGCATGGCAA